ACCTGTGGGTCAATTATGCTTCAGTAATAAAATTCTAATGTGATGTCAATATGATGTTGATGCCAAGTTGACATTGTTTTTATATGGTGTTATGAAACATTCCTATGTCACATCAAGATCATATCAATATCATATCCTGTATCACATTTTTGACGTTTATGCGATACTATTTTAAGTCAAAAAGTTGAACGTAATACGCATTTAAGTTGATATCATTTTATAGAGTTGATCATCATCATAGCACAAGTTGATGTCATTTTGATATCGCATTTTTCGGAGAGCATAATACGTAATGTGAAATAGACATCAAAACAATATCACAATTAGCGAGCATAATTGGCCTGCTGGCTATACGTCCATACATAAGATTAGGTTCTATTATGTCATTGTCTGGGGAACTACCCTTACAAGAAAATAAAAAAAACGCATGACGTGTGCTTGCTCGGCGCGGGTTATCTGAACACACCCTAAAACGGTGTAGTTAATTGAAATGAGGTATCACCATCCAACTGATAAAGAGGTCAACTGCATATATCAAGGCTTGTAACCTGTTTCGAACCGGTAAATAAAGGTTAATACCGGTTTTTAGTAAAGGTTTCGTTCGGAGCGCGTCCGAAATGAAAGCGGTACTTAAAACCTTAATTAACCGGTTTAATCCAAGCATTGTAACCATCCGGGTGGAGTGTGGTTTAGTGAAACATAATACGCGTTATTATGATTATACTCTATTTCAAACTTAACGGTAGCACACGAGCTCGGGAGAATCAAGGCACCGCGCGTGGCTTTACGCAGGGCTTGAAACTGGTTTCGATAATACCGGTAAATAACGGTTAATACCGGTTTTTAGTAAAAGTATCGTTCGGAGTGCGTCCGAAATGAAAGCGGTACCTAAAACCTTAATTAACCGGTTTAATCCAGAGCGACACGTGCACGCGTCGGCATCGCTTGAAGTTGGTTTTGTTTGAAGTATTCAAGTCACAACTTGTTAATGCTCAGAGACTGATGCATTTATTGACACGTTTGCTAGCGTCTAGTGAGTCAAGTTATTCATTTTGTAGTTGTGTACTGACACACTACTTCACTCACTCGCTCTGTATTTGGAAAGAAACTGACTTAAAATCATTATAAATTTGGATTGAAACGGCGAAGGCGATGCCGTCAGTAAGAGCGAAATGAAACCCTTTAAAAACAGCTAAATTGATTCAAAAACTATTTGATTTCGCTTTTTAGGAAAACCGGTTTTTTCAAAGTTAAGGTAGAGCCAAACCTAAATAAAACGCTCCTAATGTACTTGATACTGATTTAGGTTTGAAAATTAACCGGTAAACAACCCCTGGCATATATTTTTTTAATAACCTTACAGGATGTAAAGTTTCTATAGAATTTGATATTATTAATGCATATGCCACTTGGAAAGTTGTCTCGGTTATAAAACTTATCGTATCCATACGACATATACATGTACCGGTGCAATAAATTATGAGGAAAGTATTGGAACTGCTCGTATTGGCGAAGGTAAATAAAGCAAAATAAATCAGGGCAGTTTGTGTGCTAATGGGAACGCAAACGATATTCGAATCGTTCCTTTTTCATTCTGATTTTAATTTATTTTCGTTCTTTTAGCGATTTAGTTGTGAGATCATTTTAAATTATTATTTTTTCTTATTTTGTTGTTTATTTATTAGTTGAAGTTAAGCAACTTTCGCAGTGGTCAGTCATTGGATGGGTGACCAAAAATTTACTATCTCAAGCTCCTCCGTGCTTCAGAAGGCACGTTAAGCCGTTGGTCCCGGCTGCATCTGCAGTCGTTAACACCCACCAATCCGCACTGGACCCGCGTGGTGGGTCATGGCCCAATCTCCCTATTCCATCCATAGGGAAGGCCTGTGCACCAGCAGTGGGGACATTAATAGGCTGATGATGATATTTTTTTATATTTAGGCTCTTTACCCGTTTGTTTACTGCGAATGGTCTTAGATATCTGCCTTCATTTATCTAATATCACTTGATAAGTCGAAACATTAAAAATTTTACAACATTTCATTTTTGTGGTGGAAGAGAATCATATGACCCCCTCAAAGTAAGCGGCCACCATAGCCTATAGGAGGAGCTCGATGGCGCAGGTGGTTAGCGCGTTCGGCTGCGATCGTTGAAGTTAAGCAACCTTCGCAGTGGTCGGTCATTGGATGGTTGACCAAACATCTTCTATCTCGAGTTCCTCCGTGCTTCGGAAGGCACGTTAAGCAGTTGGCCCCGGCTGCATTTGCAGTCGTTAGCAGTAGAGGTGGGTCATGGCCCAATCTCCCTATTCCATTCATAGGGAAGGCCTGTGCTCCAGCAGTGGAGACTTTGATAGGCTTTTAATGGTGATGATGATAGCCTATAGACGGTTGCGATACGAAAAATATCACTTGCACCCTTGCGTACCTTTTTTTTTCGATGACGACGGGGAGAAAAAATGTCTTATATCCACGACAATGACCAAGGCCACGTTGGTTTGCTGTTAACACACCCTCGCGACGCAGGTAATTGCGTGGTGCATTCGGCAAGCGGCGAGCAGCCCGACGGCTGCTAGTTGGTGCGGGTATACTTTGACGTACACTCACGCAAGCATGACATACGTCAAACCACCCCGCCTCCGACCGGCTGCCCGGTCCAGACTCGCTTTATCCGATCCTGGACTTCTCCGTTCACAGCGTCACCTGACTAGTCTCACGGACCGCAGTCCGAGCGGCTAGCCAGCTGACCAGCTCCCGTACCTACCAGGTAAACCAACTCCCTGATCTACCCCTCACCCTCCAGGTGTAACTGCGGGGTCCAGTTATGAGTCGCCGCTTGTTACGCGTCCGAGCGGCTAGCCAGCTGACCAGCTCCCGTACCTACCAGGTAAACCAACTCCCTGATCTACCCCTCACCCTCCAGATGTAACTGCGGGGTCCAGCTACGCCTGGGTTCCTACCCCCTCGCGATGGTACCGCGGAGCACCCCCTCCCTGGCAGTCACAGAAGGTACCGCTAGAAGGCTAGCAGGCGGGCTCGGCGCCGCCGACCAGTCCTCCCCCTCCTGCGACCCTTGGCTACCCTAACCAATTTCCCTACCACTTAGAACCCTGAGTATTTCCCTACTTTAGTATTTCGGACACATCGCTGGCAGAAACCCTGACAGCCTAGAGAAGCTGATGGTGGTTGGTCAGGTCGACGGGAGAAGATCATGCGGTCGGTCGCCTACCCGCTGGTCAGATCTGGTAAAGTCGCTCACTGGCCATAAAGACTGCCGAGGACAGGAACTCGTGGAGAGGCATAGTACATCGGGTGGTCAACATTTCGAGTTAGACACGACCTTCAGCAATGAAGATAGTGACTAAGAAGATAGAACCCTGAAACCTTACTCATCGACAGAAACACAACACTACCAAAAGGTTGAGTTATTTTACTGTGGTCTTCTGTAAGGTGGAGGTTACTTCCCCAGGCGGGCGCTCCAATTCGAGCGAAGAATCCGCTCTGTCCTACCTCTGTTATATACCGTAACCTGATCTCAAACTTAAGCACTCATATTTGTTTCTTAGGTTTTCACGCACATCACTCATTAAATAAAACTAGTTTTTTACGGGTTAATGCACGAAACTTTATTTATTTATTGACGTTTCGTAGCCTGTAAAGTTTCGTGCATTAACCCGTAAAAAACTAGTTTTATTTAAGCACTCATGTTGGATGTATGAGTATGTGTGTAATGAGAAAAATATTATTGTTCAGTAATATTTTCAATTTCTTAATGAAACATTTTTAATCTAAGGTTTTAAGTATTTGGTTATGTCTAAAGAAAATATAACTAGAAAAAAATTCAACGCGGACCAGGCAGCAGACGGGACTCGAACCCGCACCCTTCGCTGCAAGGCAGCGCCATGCTTCGCATTATAGGTAACCCACAATGTCAAATGAATACTTTTACAAGTATTAAATATTTGAAAGAAGAAATAGCAACTATAGACGAAATAGCTGCCTGGTCCGCGTTGATTTTTTTCTAGTTATATTTTCTTTAGATTTAAACATCAAGCAGTTACATGCTTTAAAAAATAAAAATTAACACTATTTGATTATGATTATTTTTTAACTTATATTATCATTAAATTGATTATACGAATTTGTTTGTATTGAATTATAAATTTTTCTACGCCTCTCACATGCAAAACACGCTGTTCCAAAAATATGTTTAATAAATATGTGATGACATCATAGCAATGTAGCAACTTTGATATGATGTTCATACATATTTATTTAAGAAATAAAAATTTAATTCATTCATTTACTACAAAATTCCGACACTGCATCAGTTACATATACTCGTAAAATAGTTATTTTTCTTATCGTCTTTCAAACCTAGGACCATTATTTAAACCTGAATTTATGTAAAAAGAGGTGCTGTTACCTAACAAGCAATTAGTTATAATAGTAAGCAGCCAACATATAATTTGATGGAAATAGTGCGTGTTGCCATACTCCACTTTAGAACTTAACCTTTTCTATTCAAATTTTAGCCCACTTGATATAATTCCGCATTGAAATAAGGTGTAGACATGAAATAACATGAATCAACACTTAATGTTCCGTTAACTGTGTTTACGGGGCAACGATGTCACCTTCTGTTGATAACGTACGGAGAAAAATCATAAATAACGCGCAATTATTGTTAACGATAAGCGTCAATTATAGAACTAAAATAAAATTTGTTTATTTAAAATATGTTTCTTTATTTATAAAACAGTTATGATAAAAGTCTACTAACAATACATATTCCTTAGAGTTCTGAACATTACAAGCAATGTTATGATCATCATTATTAATTTAATTGACTGCATTGGAGTCATACGTATGATATTAAACTGCTTGATACATTTCATGTAGCCGAAGCGAAGTGTTAAATTAGTTCAAATAATTTCACTTCACGAAAAATATACATAGAATTATTAGAAAAATAACAGAGGTTTTTTTTCTTTGTTACAGGTAATTTTCAAGGAGACATCGCAATATCAGACGCAGATTTTTTCAAACCTACCTCAAAACCACCTCCAAGTAACAAAATAAACAAATCACTACAAGAAGAAGTAGAAAGATTGAAAAAGGAAGTCCTTTTAGAAGGACTGCAAGTGGAGGAAGAGGGTCTTACAGATATTTTAAGGAAAAGAACTAAGCAACCAGTTTTATTAGAGAAACCAAAGAAATATAATGATGCCACGCTGTATTCAAAGGTAGTTTGCAATTTAATCATCAGCATGATAACCCTGTTATTAGTTGGACACATTCCTATGAGTAGATTTACGATAAGGAAAGAATCAATGTAGGGGTGGCTACCTTGCGGGCTCTGTTCAGATCAATAATTTGAGATTTTAAGATTGCATGATTCATATCATATAGTGCATATCTTAAAAAAACTGTTTGAACAAAAGAAAACCGACTTCATGAAATAAAACCACCAATAAACAACCAGTAAGAAATAATGCAATTCCAAACTACATTTAAAATCAAATTAATATTTAGGTGTCGGTGCCATGCCAACCCAAGCAGTTAACGGTAACTCAAATCTAACAACATGCATGGGACCGACTCCAAATGTTTATTTGATTCTCTAGATACAAAAACTACTAGTTAAGCATATATAAGCTGTCTTCTTGGCAAGAGTCTCAATAACTAGTATGAATAACTAAATTCATTATTATTTCAGGTTTTACCAACTGGCTTAGATAAATCAATATCACTTAAAAATGGTAAATTACCTCCTGGGGAAATGTTAGAAAATATTACAAATGTTTCAAATGAAAGCAACGTGGACCACCCAAACCAAACTGCCGTTGACAACCTAACAGAATACGACAGTTTAGAACAAGACGGTGTTCTTTTAGTCAACATGTCTACAGACAACATTTTGAACCTTGACGAGCTGTATCTTAGTATTCCAGTACCAAATGTAACGAATAAAATGGAAGATGTAAGTAACAAAATCCAGAGTAATAGCCGTGAAATCACAGGAGATTCCAAAAACATTAAAGTGAAAGGTATTCCAGATAATATAACTGTAGCTCCTGCGCCAACTAATGGTGTTCTACCAACTAATGACCAAGAAGAAGATAGCGTGAATATGAATAAGTTTATCAAAAATAAAACAGTACAAGGAGTAGGTGCAAATTTAGAAGCTAACGATTTACTGAAACCAACAGAGAGTCTACAAAGCTTAGTTGAAAATCCTAATAATAACAAAAAACGAAGAAGAAGACGGAGACATGGTAATGGAAGGAGGTTTGTATTTATCTGACACTCATGAAAGTTTTGATTATGAAAGACTGAGAAATCAAATAAGGTCATTAATTTTTATATGTATATCTACTAATAAATCTGTATTGTATTATCGAATAAGTTTAGGCTTAACTTTAAGAGATACTTTCATATAATTCAATCTTAATTTAAGTCTAAAAATGTTTTGTGAAATGAGGTGAGAATTTTAATGCGTGAATTTTCATCAAACTAAAAAAATAATACAATGTCTTATTCTAATGGACGCTCTATAAATCGTTATTTTTTAAATGACCCATTATTAACTTTTAATAATTTAATGTATTTTTCAATGTTAATCTTCTAACGAATTACGGTTTATTCTTAGATTTAATTTCATTCAACCGAGTTTGGACCTTAACTTATTCTATAGGTACGAATATAGTTAAGCGTTTCTTAAAGATTTCCCTACTGCTCTCATTTTCCTTTTTTGAATGAAATATTTTATTATGTCTAAACTCAGGTACATGGTTTAAATAGGCTATATATTAAAATCACTTTTCCCGTTTCTTTTTCTCACTTAAGTCCTGACGGTGCCTGCGTGGCCCCATGAAAGGACATCGTTACTGGTTCTTATAATTACAGCATCAAAGCCAGCCTTAGCCAACACCCTTTTCATACAGAGCTCTTACACAACCATTACTCAGGCCTAGTTGCAATGATTTAGGCTAAGCATCTAATAGCTCACAGCAAATGTACTATACTCGTATTATGCAAAACCTATTGAAAAATAATATTTTAATTTAATTAATGAAATCATAAATCTGTAATAATAATTCCATCAAGTATCTATTATAATTTTCTAAGTCAAACATGTACCTTATTTGTTTTTCTTTACCTACGCAGATCGAATTAACAAATTTTAATGGTGATCAAATTAAATTATATGCGTGACCTTCGTGTTTAACGTATTTTCATCTAAACGAGAATAATTAATTAATCTTCGTAGTTAGAAAATTTAATAAAGCTTAGGTAAATTATAAATTGCAGACTAAGAAATATACATTCGAGTGAGCGAACAGGGCAAAATACATTAAAACATTCAGACGAATCAAGAGCGACGCACTTTGAAAGGAAAAAGTTTTTTCGTCACCAAAAAAAGTACAACAGTAAAGAGAACAAAGACGAGCCAAGACGATACGAGATACCTGTACACGAATTTGAGGAAAAATTTGAAGTGAAACCTCCGCCTAAGAAAGATATTAATGATACAGAACCAGCAGATCCGTTTAAGAATTGGTTTTTTCGGGACTCAACGACAGATTTAGATGCAATGGAAAGCCAAAGTTATAATAATACACAAGTGAGTAGAATAAAACCTTGTTTACTTGAGGTATAGGTATGTGCAGTCAACAAAAGTGGGCTTAGACAACTAGCCAAACTTAGCACTTAAAAAATAAACAACGATATTTAAAATTATGTGTCACAAGCTACGTTAAGTACGACCGTTGATGTGATTTCAAGTTGCAGTTCATCAGGCATCGTTCGGCCCGCGCAGCAACCAATCGTAAGGAGCGCATCTGGGAAAATGGTGTGATCCCGTACGAGATAGACGGCAACTTCAGCGGAGCCCACAAGTCCCTCTTCAAGCAGGCCATGAGGCACTGGGAGAACTTCACATGCGTCAAGTTCGTGGAGAGAGATCAAGACTTGCACAAAGATTTCATTATCTTCACTGAGAGACCTTGTGGGTAAGCGTTACTGCAATATTTTTAATAAATTGATAGTTATAATTTTTATTATTTAAAAGCATGTTTAAATCTAAAGAAAATATAGCTAGAAAAAATTCCACGCGGACCATATGACTATAACTGCTATTTCTTCTTTCAAATGTTTAGAACTTGTAAAAGTATTCATTTGACATTGTGGGTTACCTATAATGCGAAGAGATAGCGCTGTCTTGCAACTTAAGAATGGCTAGAAGAATTGCGACGCGGTCCTTGAGGGCCGCGGTAACATAATTGGTCAGTGCATTCGTCCGGATTGCGAAGGGTGCGGGTTCGAGTCCCGTCTGCTGCCTGGTCTGCGTGGAATTTTTTCTACTTATATTTTCTTTAAATTGATAGTTTTTATCACATTTTTAGTTTAATTATAATAGATTTTTACATCTGCAGAAAATTCTACAACAAATTTCCCACTCGGTTCAGGCATATAATAATTATACAGCTAAGGCGTATGGGTAACAGACTAGTTCTATTTACTCACGAGTTCTACTTTCCACTAGATGAACTGGAAACATTTTTTACTATTTCTATGAAACAAAATCTGGAATTTTAATATTCTTAAATCTATAAAGCATCAAATAGAATATGAGAATCTTCAAAGTTCCTAATTATTGAACCATAAAATATAAGCATCTTGTTAAATACCTTTTCAATTTCATGAGATCTTAAGAAGGACGTCGCTATCAAAGTAATATTGAAAATATTTTGGTCGTATTTTCAATTATTTACATCAGTGAATATTATTATAAGCTGTATTATAGCTTCAGCAATCTGGAATTTTAGATTAATAAACAGTTCAGGCCAGCCCTTAATAGGAGATTTTTTTTAATTAATTATCTGTGTTGCCATAAACTTAAATGTTTGAACGACATTTTTATGAGGTACATGTAGGTAATTATTTTATTATTTATTTTTCACAACAATTAGCCTAGCCCTAAGTGAGCACTGTAAGGCTTGTGTTATGGGATACTAGGGTAACGGATAGAATACATATATTGTAACATATATAAGTATATTTATATAGAAATACATATTGAACATCCATGACTGGAGTACAAATGATCGTATTCATCATACAAACATCTGCCCCCACCGGGATTCGAACCCGGGACCTCTCGAGTCGGTGACACCATGAAACCCGGCGTACAAACCACTCGACCACGGAGGTCGTCAAATACAAAGCTATAAGCGTTACACTAATATTAGAAAGGCGAAAGTTTGTGAGTTTGTGAGTGTGTGAGTGTGTATGTTTGTTACTTCTTCTCGTCTAAACGCCAGGAGCGATTTAAATAAAATTTGGTATGGAATTAGCTGACACCCTGATTTAACATAGAGGCTACGTTGTACTGCGGGAAAACATCCCTAATGAATCGCGGGTAGTACCGCGGGGCACAGCTAGTAAATGATAAAAGTGTACAAAGTGTAGTGTATATTCTCGCCTTACAAAAAGGATTAGTTTAGATGTTTGTTACTAACACGCCGCAATATAGTTAATGATATTTGTGCAAAAATTTAAATTTACAATCTAAAGCCTTCGTAAAGTCGACATTCTCTAATTGATACGAAAATCTATAAAAACACGTACGCACTTATTGCATATTATCGTATGTAGTGCATATTGATTGGTTACGTACGGTTACGGTATACTTAATTCATTATTTAGAAACAAGAGTGCATTATCTATCTATCTTTATATATATAATTCTTCTGTGAGTGTGTATGTCACTGAACTTCTCTTAAACGACTGGACCGATTTTGATGAAATTTTTTGTGTGTGTTCAAGGGGATCTGAGAATGGTTTAGATTCACAAACACGTGTAGACAGGACAACGTCTGTCGGGTCCGCTAGTATACATATAAAACTCAAAGGTGACTGACTGACATAGTGATCTATCAACGCACAGCCCAAAGTACTGGACGGATCGGGCTGAAATTTGGCATGTAGGTAGATGTTATGACGTAGGCATCCGCTAAGAAAGGATTTTGATCAATTCTACCCGGAAGGGGATAAAATAGGGAATGAAAGTTTATATGAAACTTTGTCAATTTTAAACCGATCGTACTGAGACTTTGCATGCAGGTAAGAAGAACCATAGATGAATGTCATTGTGTATAATACAAGCCTGAGAACAAAAACTGTAGTCTATACTTCAGCTCTACACCGAAGCGAAGCGAGGGCGGGCCGCTAGTGATATAATCTATACTTATAATAAATCTGTAGAGAGGTCAATTCTGTACATGAAATATATTTTCAAAATAACTATCAGGGGGTGATAAGTGATCGATACTGATGCCAAAAATGCAATCAGTAAAATTTTTGTCTGTCTGTCTGTCTGTCTGTGTGTTTGTTCCTTATAGAAACAAAAACTACTCGACGGATTTTAACGAAACTTGGTACAATTATTCTTTATACTCCTGGGCAGGTTATAGTATACTTTTCATCACGCTACAATCAATAGGAGCAGAGTAGTGAAGGGAAATGTTGGGGAAACGGGAGAAGTTACTCCATTTTTTAAGCTTCCATTGCGTGTGCAGCCTTAATGGTTAAAGTTACATAGAAATCATGTATGACGGAAATATTCTACATAAAATTTTCTAGAAAATATCCCGCAACAGCATATGTCTATCTTTTATGGTTGACTCACAATAACACGTGTAACTCCTGATAGCTTAGCAGTTCGGAACATTCTGATTATATTTGTTTACTCTTACGTTTATAATACTCTCACTCATCCATAATTTAAAAAAGTTAACATTATTACCTATTCAATAAAAAAAGAATCATAGAAATCGGTATAGAAACATCAAACTTAAACATGAAATAAGCCATCGCGCCGTCGCACGTGAATACTGAATCATGCTTTAAGGATTATTTTTGTGTAACGGCTGCCGCGCTCGACACGGGTCGTAACGGCTGCCGCGCTCGACACGGGTCGTGGCGGCGCGGTGGGGTATAAAAAGGCGGGAGGTCCGAAAGCGAGCTTCCCCGCCCCCCCCCCCGATCCTGAGAGACCTTCAGTCGCTCAGTCCCAAACCGATACGGATGCACATCAGGGTGCATCCGTCCTCTAAGCGCACTATGCAGTAGTATTTACTAAGGCAGCGCTGCATCATCCCCTTCTCAGGGTTGATCGCATCAGATGAAGCCTGTAAGGCCCCTAAGGCCATAGGCACCCCCCACGGGTGTGTTTTAGTCAGTAAGAGTCTGACATAACTCTACAGCCGACTGTAGGGTATCCATGAGGATTTCACACCCGCTCCCCCGCCTGGGAGGAAACAAAAAAAAAAAGAAAGCGAGCTTCATTCAATATTTGGCTGTTGATGCGTTCAGAGCGTTCGACCTTATTGACAGACAATAATTGATATTGAGAAACCGTGCTTATCTTAGAATAAAAACCAAACATTTGTAAACAAAATTAGCAAATAAATTATGTAAAACGTGTAGAAAATGAGTACTGGAAAACGGAAATATGAGAATTTTAGTTTGGTTATAAATACAGGTAACAAAAATGACCGTTATTATCTATATCTATACTTATAATAAATCTGTAGAGATGTCAATTCTGTACATGAAATATATTTTTAAAATAACTATCAGGGGGTGATTAGTGATCGATACTGATGCCAAAAATGCAATCAGTAAATTTTTTATCTGTCTGTCTGTCTGTCTGTCTGTCTGTGTGTATGTTCCTTATACAAACAAAAACTACTCGACGGATTTTAACGAAACTTGGTACAATTATTCTTCATACTCCTGGGCAGGTTATAGTATACTTTTTATCACGCTACAATCAGTAGGAGCAGAGTAGTGAAGGGAAATGTTGAGAAAACGGGAGAAGTTACTCCATTTTTTAAGCTTCCGTCGCGTGTGCAGCCTTAATGATTAAAGTTACATAGAAATCATGTATGACGGAAATATTCTACATAAAATTGTCTAAAAAATATCCCGCAACAGCATATGTCTATCTTTTATGGTTGACTCACAATAACACGTGTAACTCCCGATAGCTTAGCAGTTCGGAGCATTCTGATCATATTTGTTTACGTTACGTTACGTTTATAATACTCTGACTCATCCCTAATTTAAAAAAGTTAACATTATTGCCTATTCAATAAAAACAAAACATAGAAATCGGTATAGAAACACCAAACTTATACATGAAATAAGCCATCGCGCCGTCGCACGTGAATACTGAATCATGCTATAAGGATTATTTTTGTGTAACGGTTGCCGCGCTCGACACGGGTCGCGGCAGCGGTAGGGTATCAAAAGGCGGAGGTCCGAGAGCGAGCTGTCTAAATCTGTTTTCTGCGTCGCTCCCCTCCCCCCTGGGGGACGATCGCTTCCGATGAAGCCTTAGAGGCCTTCCCGGCCAGAGGCAGCCCCTACGGGTGGTTTTTTAGTCAGTACGAGTCTGACATAACCTTGCAGCCGGCTGTAGGGTATCCATAAGGATTTCTCATCTGCTCCTCCGCCTGGGAGACCGAAACCGTGCTTATCAGCGCGACTTTTAGTCTTTAAATAGTTTATTTGAATTTCTTTTGTTGTTATTTTGTAAAATAGGTATTAGTTGTTTTGGTAGTGTTTAAATATTCGTTCAAATTAAAAATTATTAAGCGTAGGTACTTTTATTAATTAAAGTAGTTATAAGTATTTATTTTTAAGTGAAGGAGGTATAGGTAGATAGTATTGCACAGGCGTTTCAGCTTTATTTTCATTTCTTTTTTGTTGTGAGTTGTATATATTTCTGGTTATAATTCTATAAGAATATTTTAGTTCAAATAGTCACTTAGATTTTATGTGTAAGGTAGCTAAAGTTAGGACCACGTATTAGTTGTTTTGGTAGTGTTTAAATATTCGTTCAAAGTGTAATTTAATCATATAGGATGAATGTACGATGGCCCATCGAAAAGGAGTAGAAGCGGTAGACAGAGATTTAAGAGATATAAGACAAAATGATCGACCCATGGGCGGTATCACAGTTTTATTTTGTGGTGATTTCCGACAAACCTTAACGGTAATACCACGGGGAACCCGAGCTGCTGAGGTTAGGGCTTGCCTGAAAAGCTCTTATTTGTGGCGTGATATACAATCGGTGCATTTGACTATAAACATGCGAGTGAGAACTGTAGATAACCCGGATGATCGTGAATTTTCTGATATATTATTAAAGAAAATACCTTCACCAAAGATACCTATCCACTGCTACACCAAGGAAAACTTATTCTGACGCCTAAGTTGTGTTGTATAGTGCAATCCCAACAACATCTTACATCGTCAGTTTACGGTGACGTAACAAATATATTAAATAAGGACAATTCTTGGCTATGCGAAAGGTCCATTTTAACTCCTCGCAATGACCAGGCATCTGAGATTAATAATAAAATACTGTCGAATATCCAGGGGGAAAGCAAAGTTTATAGTTCAATAAATAGAATGGCCGATGAACAAGAAGCCACTAATTACCCGATAGAATTTTTAAATTATTTAAATATGCCCGTACTTCCTTCTCATGAAATTTGTTTAAAAATTGGCATTCCGATTATTCTGCTCCGAAATTTAAGACCACCACAAATTTGCAATGGAACTCGGCTTAAAGTAACCCAGTTGCAACAAAATGTAATCGAGGCTCAAATTTTAATAGGTTGCGGTGCAGGAGAAACCATCTTTATTCCCAGAATTCCCATAATACCAAATAATTTTCCATTCCAATTTAAAAGAACGCAATTCCCAGTATCGGTGTGTTATGCAATGACAATAAATAAGGCTCAAGGGCAGACCTTTCGTGTTGTTGGAGTAGATCTCGGTGTCAGTTGTTTTTCACATGGTCAGTTATGTCGGTCTTTCCCGGGTTAGCAGTCCTAGAATTTTTTATGTTCACGTTCCGGACGGGTCAAATTTCAACGTAGTCTACCCGGAAGCTTTGCGCTGAAGTATTTTCATTCTATATGTACTTAAGACTCATGTGAAAGCGATCTAAACAATATTACCAATACATTAACATAATAACATACAAGGAGTTACACGCTGATGGTCTCGGGGCACAGTGATAATAATAATATTCTGCGGTTCCTTATTGCGATATTTTTAACAGTATTATATTTCCCTACTAAAATACGAAAGTTAATCTGTCTGTCACATCAAAACCACGGAACCCTGAGGAAGGACATATGCTACTTTTTTACGAAAAACGACGATAACGCGGACGAAGTCGCGGGCAAAAGCTAGTATAAAAATATTTACCGACAACTACCGCTGAAACCCCAGCGCCTGTAATCATAAAATCGATAATTATTAGTCAAGAGGCCAACATGAAAGTTTTCTAAAGAAATTAATATTCATTAGTTTGTCTTTTATTGTAGCACGGAGAACAGGAATTTCTAATTCAAGTATATATTTACTTTAAAGAAATTCCCAATCGCAATACAGTATAGTAAATTATTGTATCAAATAAATAATTTGAAATTATAGTTAGATCAGAAAACTTTAAAACAAGACAAGAAATAAGTATTTCTTATAATCCAAATAAAGCGGCCATCTCTCTGTACCGTCCAAAGCTATTTAGTCCAGGCAACGAATGCTCAAAAACAGGTATAGATGCAAATCTTTTTTCCATAATTACAGACTTTCAAGAACGGATATCACGAAAACTATACAAGATATCAAAAAACTTGACTGAATAAGACTTGTAGCAAAATTAATCAGCTTTCACTTTTGTGAAAGTCTCATGTCGCTAGGATGCATAGTTTCCGAGATATATGCGAAAAACCCAAAAATGGGACCTTCAATCCCCCCCCCCCCCCCACCCTCCGGCTTAAGGGCTACGGGCGGGGACTTTTGATATGTTTACCTCCTAACTAGTCCAAACAAGGTAACGAAGTCAAAAATTGTGTTCTAAGCATTTCCCTCTATACCTTTTCGTTGCCTGGACTATATACACACATGAAGGTTTGAACTCCCATGCACTTAGAAGGTCCACATCCTGCCAAAAGCCTAATGTGATTTACTTCCAGATGCTGTTCGTTCGTCGGCAAGCGAGGCGGAGGTGCACAAGCCATTTCCATTGGGAAGAACTGCGACAAGTTTGGCATAGTGGTGCACGAGTTGGGCCACGTGGTTGGCTTCTGGCACGAGCACACGCGCCCTGACCGCGACAACCACGTACAGATCATCAGGGATAACATCATGACAGGTAAAGTAAAAAAGATAAAGTCCCAAGCAATATCCAAGAGTTAGCCATAAATAAATTTAAAGATATTATAAAAAAAACACTTATTAAAAAAGCTTATTACAAAGTGTCTGATTATATTACAGACAAAAATGCTTGGGTTTGAACTGTTCCAATCATTCCAACAGGTTTTCTATATTAAATAAATCATAATTGTATTGACGTTGTAACAACATAATGATTTGTAAATGTTGTTACATTAGACTTTTAATGTTGTGGAGTTTTTTTCGCTCGTTTTTCTCCGCAGCTAAAAAATATGTCCATAACGAGTAGTAGGGAAAAAAAATTTTTGGACGATTCAAAAGAGTTGTACTATACATCCAATGTGAATAAAGATATATTGATTTCTGATTTCTGATTTCTGGTACTGTACTGTAACATCCGTTACGTTACAGCCTCCTTGTTTGGGTAAACTCTTTGTTCATGTAATGCCTACTGCTGGCAGTCATATTAAAAAGTTAATGTCATGATTTTAATATTTGAAATTAGAAATCCTCTGTCTTTTGATAGAAGATTCCACATCATATAGACTTCAGGCACCAAACCATGCGTAAATAGATTAAACTCGTATATATTATATTTGCCTGAAATCTAATAAAACCAGTATAAATTAACGTTGTTTCAATAAATTACTACGCTCCCAGGGCCTACCCATTCAGGGTAGATCGCCGCAGTACTCTTAGCACGAACTAATATCAAATTGGAATAGTTGAATTTGATATCAAATCTAAATGTCAAGAATATATAGGTATGTGAAAATTTGAAGAAAGCCAGAACCGACGGAATGAGAATTAAAAAAATCCATGCGCCATCCCATAATTACTATGAGGAATAACACCTTTAGACACACCACGACCTTAGACCGTACCTTTGGTGGTACGCAGTCTTTTACAGTTAAACTTTCCCGTACGAATAATTAAGCTCACTAATGGACTAAAGTTATGTAGGAAGGCCAAAGGGGAAGATCTTCCTCCGAGCTGGGTGATGTTAGCTCGGGGGCCGCGGCCCGACTGATGTTGGTCGGGCATCGTATATATGAAGAGTTAGCCTCCGAATTTCATTTGCGCGATGTAGGCTTCCATACTATGATCGCAGTGCAGGTAACGCCATCTCTTGAGGATGGTGAGTAATAATTTCCTCCATCCGTATATATGTGGGGCATATAGATGTCGCCGCCACAGTTATTTATTAACGCTTTCGAAAAAGCAAGAAAAAATCTTATACTTGTAATATTTATTTAGAGTATAAACGGGTTAGCTTTTATTATTTGATGCACGTCCACCCTAAAAACGATGAAATACGTCAAGTTAAATAAAACTAGTTTTTTACGGGTTAATGCACGAAACTTTATTTATTTATTGACGTTTCGTAGCCTTTACAGGCTACGTCGTCGGAATCAAATTTCTATGAAACGTCAATAAATAAATAAAGTTTCGTACATTACCCGTAAAAAACTAGTTTTATTTAATGAGTGATGTGAGTGAAAACCTAAGAAACAAATATACGTCAAGTTATTTAGTAGTATTATATAACAGAATAATCTACTATTCAAATAACATGAATAATAATACCAAATCCACAATAAGATTGATATAGGATCTTCAAGGTTGGGCCTTCCTATAACTGCTAACGTCGTGCGTAGGTGTGCCCTTTCAGAAACGCCACGATACACTTATCCCGAGATATTCCCACAATACGCCACTTTAGGCGGTGCTAGCGCGCAGAGTGCGTCTTATAGTGTGTAGTCTTCCCACCGATATTATGTGCCATACTTGACCTGAATCCATTACAAACCTCTTCGCAAATCTTCGGAACACGACCTCATTTGCAATAACGTGTAATGTTAATAGTTTTTAACACGAATGTGACATTATTATTAAAAAGTTTTGTATCAAATACAATCACGTTTATGAAGTAAGTATACGACAGAGATCATCCCATATCCACTTGGCGAGGATGACAGACAAGATACTTATTATAATTTTTTAAACTTTTGTACTCAAAGCGTAACGATGAAACCCAATTACGAAGTCTCGAAAAGAGCCCTTTTACAAAATTGCGCTGCCGTAATGATCAGCGCGTAGGTAGATTTGCACTAATATATATTGCATTTTACGGGTGATGTTTCGAGTCTTATAAAATAACTATAATGAACTAATTATAAATATATATACATATTTCAGTAGTTCAATTATGGTAGATTAGTTTTATGAAAGTTTTTGATAGTAATTTTATATAATTCAATATCAAAATACGAGTTAAACCTTGGTAATTTTTCAGGAAAACTCACGAAGGTTAGATTTTTTTTTGATAATTAATGAGATGGAAAATCAAAATTGTAATACATTATGTCACAACAATACAATATTTCTGATGTCGTATTAATTAATTTGATCTAAATTATTGAATATTATTGAGAGATTGAGGCGTTTAAAGTTGTGCATGTTATCGTTTTTTCCGTAAACTAGCTGCAGTAGAACGATCAGTACAAAAGAAGGAAAATAGTATTTGCATTATTCTACATTAACTTACAATAGGACGAATAAATCAACTGTTTACTTCTATTGGAAATAGTCAAAATCTTTTCTAAGAGGATAAACGAGGCGCTCAAAAAGTTTTTTTGCAAAAAATGTGAAGGGCTCTTAATGATGATGTAACTTGCTCAGAAAAAAGTTTTCTATACAAACAACTCAATAATTGAATAAAGAGCTTTTTAGAAATATTATTTACGTATTAGTAAGTGGTTATTGTACAATACTGCGAAACTCTACGTGTCTATATACGACATTATTGCCGATTTTTATATCCAGTGATGCACCAGTAGGGCAAGGACATAACATATGCTAATAGGTACAAAGTTCAATACTAAAATTAATGTGACAATTATTTTAATGTAGGTACGAAGTAAACATTTAAAAAATGGTGAATGCCCGAAATTTGAATGAAATCGAACATTAGGTATTTTAAATCTAAAGAAAAGTTTTACTAGAAAAAAAACCTATAATTCTAAAACTGTAATTGCTATTTCTTCTTTCAAATGTTTAAAAACTATTCATTTGACATTGTGGGTTACCTACAATACGAAGAGATGGCGCTGCCTTGCAGTTTAAGGCTAGGAAAATTTCGACGCGGTCATGAGGGCCGTGGTAGCATAACTGGTCAGTGCATTCGCCCGGATTGCGAAGGGTGCGGGTTCGAGTCCCGTCCGCTGCCTGGTCCGCGTGGATTTTTTTCTAATAAAACTCTTCTTTAGATTTAAATATCTAGCAGTAAAAAGCTTAAAAAAAAAACAGGTATTTTAGTTTTCCTCACGAGTTACGCTACGGTGTGACTGAGCTCGCGAGCTCTTCACGGATCCACATTGAACCCGTCACGTCACCGTGACATCTAACGCATAATCAGCTCAAGCATCCGGAAGAAAACATACGCCGCTTCCTGCTTATTATGTATAATAATGTATAGTATAGTATTATAGAGGATCGTATAGCATACATTTTAAAGCGACATCTGTTTTTGTGCGGATGACCCAGTAGCGGAGGTGACGGTTTAATCGGACGCTTGATTGTTACTATTTGATTTATAGGTCAAAGGACATTGGGTAAGTTATCTCAGAGTTCCCAGCTTCAAAGGTCTATTACTATATGCTAAGGTCTAAGTAGTTATAGTAACCTTATTTTCGGTTTAACGATTAAGTGAATTAATCGTTAATACAATGAAATTTTTAAGTATTGAAAAACACCTATCTATAAATTATAATATATCTTTGAAGTAATAAAGAGAAATAAGATAACTGACTGCGGTGGACACAGAGTTTCATAATAATAAATAAATAAATATTTCCAACACTCACACCAATTAGCCTAGCCCCAAAGTAAGCACTGTAAGGCTTGTGTTATGGGATGCTAGGGTAACGGATAGAATACATATACTGTACATATATAAGTATATTTATATAAATACATATTAAACATCCATGACTGGAGTACAAATGCTCGTATTCATCACACAAACATCTGCCCCCACCGGGATTCGAACCCTGGACCTCTCGAGTTGGCGACACCATGAAACCCGGCGTACAAACCACTCGGCCACGGAGGTCGTCTTAAATACAGACATAATAAAACAAGGTTGCAACCACGCCTTAATTCATTTGCACCGCGGATTACATTACTCTGGCATTATTCGCCAATCACGATTAAACGGACGGAACTGTATTTGTAACTTAGGACTACCTTGCAAACAATTATTCTCCTAAACACTCACTTTACACTTAACCGTTTCATTTCAAGCTCATTATTACAGCGATATCGTTTCCAAAACTAGTGGAAATCGCAGCGGGGACAGAAACTGTGGCCATTATCTAGCACTCTGGCGGAATAATCGGGTCATTGTTGCCAGCTTGGGACGCTCAGACACGAATAATTGAAATAACCAACCAAGAGACCTCGCTGATATCTTCTTAACTATTTCAAACATTCCATGCCGAAAACAACATTGAACTTGATTAATAGTTTGTGAAGGATATCGAACTTTTTATACATGAATTTTTCAACTAAGCTAAATGGCCAAGTAATTATGATATCTTTTTGTTTAATATTAGACTTTTAAATATAAAAGTTAAAATAATAATACTTCTAAAGAAAAGTTTACTAGAAAAAATCCACGCGGACCAGGCAGCGGACGGGACTCGAACCCGAAATAGCAATTATAGTTATGATTTTATTCTTGCTATTTCTTCTTTCAAATGTTTAATACTTGAAAAAGTATTCATTTGACATTGTGGGTTACCTACAATGCGAAGAGATGGCGCTGTCTTGCAGCTTAAGGCTAGGAAAATTTCGACGCGGCTAATAGGGCCGTGGTAGCATAATGGTCAGTGCATTCGCCCGGATAGCGAAGGATGCGGGTTCGAGTCCCGTCCGTTGCCTGGTCCGCGTGGATTTCTAGTAAACTTTTCTTTAGATTTAAACATCTAGCAGTTAAATGCTTAAAAAATAAATAAAATCATAATAATACTTGATTAATATTACTACTTACTTAATAGTAATTTGTAAAGGATATCAAACTTCATATATATATATATATATATATATTAATTATTCAACTAAGCTGAATCACCATGTAATTATAAATTTTTATTTGAGTTAGTACCTACTAGACTTTAAATCTAAAATGGATATTAATATAATTTTAACTCTCGTCAACGTCATCCGATATAGCTTCATAGCTCATAATAATATTAACCGGGGAAATATCGGACCCTACAACCTAGGTGGCCAAATAGTTTGTGCGCTGGGTTTCAAGATGGGGACAGATGTTTGTGTGATGAACATGAGCATTTGTACTCCAGTCATGGATTTTTAATATACATTTCTATGGAAATAAACTTATAAATGTATTCTATCCGTTACGTTAGTATCCCATATCACAAGCCTATAGTGCTTACTTTGGGGCTAGGCTAATTGGTGTGAGTGTTGGAAATATTTGTTTATTTTATTTTATTTATTTATTTATCGACACTGACTCGCCTTTCGGATTGCCGTCAAACAGGCGTCCTCAAAACCTAACGTAAGCAGATGAGGAGCTCCAGTATATTCGGACCGGCTTACGGCTAGGCGACGGCCAGGCGTACAAGTTCGATCTGTCATAAAGTGGAAGTGAAGTACGGAGTGGTGACTACGTAATGACGTCACCTAGACTACGGAGAGACGTCAGCTAGGCTGCGGAGAGACGTAAGCTAGGGTACGAGGAAGGAGCGGGAGAGTTGACCACGCGCGTTCTTGCCCTTATCCTAAGGCGAAATTAGATTAAAACAAAAAGGGTAGATACGGCACTAGCCTCACAAAAGTGATCCGCATAAATTGTGGTCCACGGCCCTAATCGCTTAAGTCACAAGTTGACATGCAAACGACGTACATGTGAACGCCAAAAAGAAATATTTCTAATATTTTGTGTTAATATGATAAAACAATACCTAAGTGTGTTTTTAAAAAGTGCTCAAATTGCTCAAGAACAAAAAATAAAACCCACGGCATCACTTTTCATTCGTAAGTACTATTAAATATATTTTTCATAAAAATTGCTGTTGGTTTTGAATATAATTCGAGTACTGCTCGCGTGATAGGTCGGTAGTGCAGTGACGCGGATCTCGCCGTCTCGTTCGCGCTGCCATTGAAACTTAACGTGCTGTTCGTTCGGGTCGGTAACGCAGTGACGCGGATCTCGCCGTCCCGTTCGCGCTGCCGTTGAAACTTAAATTGCTGTTCCGTTCGTTCGATTGTATTTTTACAAAAAGTTGGATGTGTGAGTGTTGCATATGTACTAAAGTGAGATCAGTTTTTGTTAGATGCAAGTATGAGCGTACCGTATCTACCCTTTTTGTTTTAATCTAAGGAGGCGAAGCGATAACGTTAATATTCCAATTAGCGTACTTTGCAGTAGGGAGCTTCATACAAAGAATACTAAACAACTCGAGTTGATACGGTAAAGATTCTTTTCTAAATAGATACCTATGTCTCCTACGGCCTATAAGCGGTAGAAATCAGCCGATATCATCATCATCAACCCAAGCTCGTCCACCGCTGGACATAGGTCTCCCCTAATGTACGCCACTGCTCCCGATTTTCTGCCACTCTCATCCAGCCCACCTCAGCCAGCCTACGAATGTCATCATCCCATCTTGACTCAGGGCGGCCTACACTACGCTTACTGAGTCGTGGTCTCCTCTCAAGAACTTTCCGGCTCCAACGGCCGTCAGTTCTGCGGCTAATGTGACCAGCCCATTGCCACTTCTGTTTGCTAATTCGGTGGGCTATGTCGGTGACTTTGGTTTTCCTGTCGGATGACATCATTTTTGATGCGGTCTCTCCGGATACTCCGAGCATAGATCTTTCCATAGCTCTCTGAGCGACTTTAAACTGGTGGACTCGTCCAGTCCTGAGTGTCCACGTCTCGGCGCCATATGTCATAACTGGGAGGACGCACTGGGTAACGAGAAGACTTGACGATGCGTACGAAATGCTGCTCAGCCCAACTGAATTCTTGTAATGGCTTCTCTCTCGAAGTTGTTTCAGCCTTATCGGAGCATTTGTTCTAAATAGGCAGATTCCTGAACAACCTCGAGAAGTACTCCATTAACAGTAACTAGTTCCCGATCAACGAGCTCGTTGAACATGACCTTGGGTTTATCCAAGTTTATCCGAAGACCGATGCGTTTGGAAGATTCAGCCAGGCTGCTCACCATCTCCTGTAGGTCTTGCAGGGTATCAGCCAGGATGACAATGTCGTCCGCGAATCGAAGGTGTGAGATGTATTCGCCATCAATATTGATTCCGCGTCTTTTCCAGATGAGCGTTCCGAACATGTCCTGTAGCGCAGCGGAGAAGAGTTTCGGGGATATTAGACCAGACCAGGTATCGACGGAGTCAAAAGCTTTCTCATAGTCCATAACCGCCATACACAGGGGCTGGTTAGACTCTTTGGTCTTCTGTATAACGGACTGTGTGAATGTGGTCTGTGGTGCCATAACCCCGTCGGAACCCGCCGATATAAGTGGAACAATTTGTACTACTGATTTTATTCACTAAAAAGACACTATGAAAAAACTTAAGAGCTAATTTAAGTAATTTTAGATTGAATTAAGAACACATTGCTTCGATAAATAATATAACTAACACACTTAAGAACTTCAGTCGCGCAGGTACAAATTTGATTTATGATTCCCTATAAACTTCAAAAGTTTCCTCTGAGTTCATTGTTACCAACTTCTCCGCTGTTGAAAGTACACTAGACATCGTCATTTTTCGTGTCGTTCCCGTTAATGTGTTTACAGAAAATAAAACGGCGCCTAAAATGAGCCGTTAACTTGGAGCCGGCTCGGAATATTTTATACGTGTCTAAGTGTTCCCGGAATCGCGGGGGATAAGCGGTGGATTTGGAAAGGGTGACGTTACGCGACGCGGAATGGTTAATTTGTAAAGAACGACTCCGAGGAGTTAGTATAATTAAAAGCAATAATTTGGAGAGCTCCTTACATCAGCTATCGATTGAACATTTCTAATGAGCTTCTTATTAAGCGTGCTTTGATGTTCTACCTAATGTATTTTACCATTGGCATTACGTACCATTATTAGCTTACCATAGAGCAACGCGGTCGACGTGGCCAGGAGGGGAGTCGGCATACGGGTGATTCCTGGGACCCATGATTTTAAGGGTCACATTGAAATATAAAATGGAGTAATAAACCAACTTGAATAAAGTACCACTCCAAACTTTACTTAACTATTGTAGTGTTAAGGCCCATTGATAAAAAGTAATATTTAATTAAATAAATTGGTCAAATATCCATTTGTAACTGAAAAACGCGGTAATTTCACTAGATTTATACGTGTCACACGCGCGGCTCTTGCTGTGTTATAGTGAATATTTTTTTTACTTGTTTGACAAAACAGTCGACTCGCCAGTACAAATTTCCGATCTTAAGGTTCGTCTATACCCGATCTAGCGCTGTAATTTTTTATGTGCCAGTGTGGTTATTACAATGTTGTTTTTTGCAAAAGTATGTTGGACCGCATTTGTGTGCATTCTCCCCCCCCCCCCCCCCCCGCAATAAGCGGCAGTATGATTTCAGTAGCATTATGGCTACTCCCCTCCTAGCCGCGTCGGCTGTGTTTCTCTATGATGTTTATACAGTTCGTTTCAAACGACGATGTTTCTGAAAGTAACTAATAACAAAAAGGTAGGTAATCTAGAGACAGTTTAAAGACAATAATGGGAATTTGTAGAGCCCTATGATAATAAATTGTTCATTTCCATGATCATATTTAGATTTTATGGGGTATTTATTGAATATCTTCGCTCTCGAAACGTTCAAAACCTACTTTACATAGTTTAGCAACTGATTTCATTAATCTGGGAATTAAGTTCATAATTAATATTGAATCAGTTGTCATTAAAGCTCGCGACATTACGGGTATCTTGATGAGTTTGGAAACAACCCAAGATTTTACAGACCAGAAGTTGATCTATAAAATACTTGCGTTCCCAATCAATGTTGCTTTCCTGAAGCGGTATTAAATACCACGGCGATGTCTTAAACTGTAACATTGTTCAAAGCCATAAAGCTAAGAGGGTTATATGGCGGCGTTAAATCTAAAAAGATTCTGGTTAGGAAGTTTGATGCAACAGAAATATCGGTCACACGTTTGCTCTGAACCATATACTGCTCCAGACGCTGAATTTGGCAGCAGGACTTTTCCATGAGCATATTGTCTCGAATTCTTATCCCCCATTTTGAGTTCTAAAGTGCAGGAGGACAAAGTCAATCTTAAAAACCACAATCCTAAATAACCTAAAAACAGTTTTCTAGATTACTAAATTGTTTTACTAAATAGTACAAAAAAAAATTCATTACTGGACACACCATTTTTGTTCATCCCACCATAGTCTGAATAATACTTACCTGTGTTTTTTGGTACAAAACAGAATGTTGTTATAGCTTTGTTCTCTCAATTCCTTAGGTCAAGAGTACAATTTCAACAAGTTGACTGCGGAAGAGGTCAACTCTTTAGGTCAAACCTACGACTACGACTCCATCATGCACTACGCTAGGAACACGTTCAGCAAGGGCACTTACCTGGACACCATCCTGCCGCTTGAAGTCCACGGCAAGAAGAGACCGGAGATCGGCCAGAGGGTTCGGCTCAGCGTCAGCGACATAGCCCAGACGAATCTCTTGTACAAATGCGCAAGTTAGTATCCAGTCCAACAAAGCGAATATACATACCTAATAGGTTCTGATTCAGAAACTCAGTCGCACTGCGATTACTTTCGCAATAGGGCTGCCGGTCTTTTCATCATCATCATCAGCCTATTAATGTCCCCACTGCTGGGGCACAGGCCTACCCTATGGATGGAATAGGGAGATTGGGCCATGGCCCACCACGCGGGCCCAGTGCGGATTGGTGGGTGCTAACGACTGCAGATGCAGCCGGGACCAACGGCTTAACGTGCCTTCCGAAGCACGGAGGGGCTCGAGATAGTAAATTTTTGGTCACCCATCCAATGACCGACCACTGCGAAAGTTGCTTAACTTCAACGATCGCAGCCGAACGCGCTAACCACTTGCGCCATCGAGCTCCTGCGCCGGTCTTTTCGATTCATCGTAATTCCACAATCACCCAATTATATTTCAATTCAATCCGAACCGTATTACTATCGTTCTTAATTAATATGAGTGCCGTATGATATTTATTGTGTAGATCACGATAGTATAATATTTTTTATGTTATTAAAAAAAATAGCAGATGAGCTGCTATGTCGCAATCTTTTAGATCTTGGATTCGAAAGTAGGCGGTCTTGATCATCTTTATGTTTCCGAATTACTTTACACTGACGCATTTGATATTTACTATTGCGATGTTGTTAACAATCTGTTAATAAAGTTCAGCTAATTCCATCCATTATATATCTGAGTCCAAACTGGTTTCATTATATATTTTTTTCTCTTCTGATTCCAAAGTGCCAAGAAAGTAAAAACTGACGAACATTGTTAAGCAATCACAATTGCAGGAGAAACGTATGAATAACTGCGCTGTTAAACTTCCGTACCGTGTTTTTGAAGAAACATGAGGATTTCCGATATGAAGTTATTAATATTATTTGTTTGTCAGAATGCGGCAGGACTCTACTAGGCAACTCTGGCTGGTTCAATTCACCCGGATGGGGCACCGAAGCACCGCCCGCCACGCAGGAGCGCTGCGAGTGGCGTATAGTCGCCACTCACGGCGAGCGAGTCGTACTCAACATCACTGGTGAGTTGAACGCTTCTGATAAGTACGAAATTACGACCAACTCACCCGGATAGGTACTAAAGCACAGCCAGCCACTCACGACCACTGCGAGTGGTGTATAAGTCGCCACTCACGGCAAACGAGTCGTACTCGACATCAATGATGAATTGAACGCTTCTGATAAGTACGAAATCACGACCAACTCACCCGAATGGGTACTAAAGCACAGCCCGCCACTCACGACCACTGTGAGTGGCGTATAGTCGCCACTCACGGCAAGCGAGTCGTACTCGACATCACTGATGAATTGAACGCTTCTGATAAGTACGAAATCACGACTAACTCACCCGGATGACTGTGGCATGTATTCCACATTTATTGTACGTCTAAAAGAGTAGCTAGTACTAGCGTTCTTCGAGCTTAAGCAAAATATTCATTAGCACATTTGAAATTAAAGTTAGCATTAGAATTTTTAAAGTTGTTACAAGTAATCTCTGTGTAGAAATAACACAAAATATCAACAGCAGTGGTACCCAGAGGGTGATTTTCAGTGAGAAGTACTGTACCCTTAACACGAACCAATATCGATATCGTATCGTTTGCGAGTAAGAAATGTCATTGTTAAATTGTAAATGAAACAGCAACCCCGCTACTGATAAGTACGAAATCACGACCAACTCACCCGAATGGGTACTAAAGCACAGCCCGCCACTCACGACCACTGTGAGTGGCGTAGAAGTCACCACTCACGGCAAGCGAGTCGTACGCAACATCACTGGTGAGTTGAACGCTTCTGATAAGTACGAAATCACGACCAACTCACCCGAATGGGTACTAAAGCACAGCCAACCACTCACGGGCACTGCGAGTGGCGTTTAAGTCGCCACTCACGGCGAGCGAGTCGTACTCGACATCACTGGTGAGTTGAACGCTACTGATAAGTACGAAATTAAGACCAACTCACCCGAATGGGTACTAAAGCACAGCCCGCCACTCACGACCACTGTGAGTGGCGTGTAAGTCACCACTCATGGTTAGTCGGACTCTTTAGCTAAGTACAGATCGAGCTATACTTCTACTCCGCCCGCTCTGAAGTTGCTTCGCGCAGGTGTACAGGTTTATGTGATAAAATTAAAAACAACAAACAAAAAAAGTGACTGTATCTATTTTTCAGGACACCTAAGTTGTTCCGATGCTAAAAGAATCAGTCGGACTTACAAACTCGAATACAATTTCCTCGGCGAATAGCTGTTTATATTTTGTTTCGCACTTCGACCAAAGTAAGGTTTCGCAAATGCCACATGATGCCGGCCGCTTAAATATACGAGCAGTTTGCAAACAATTCCGAAGCAGAGATACGAGAAAAACGGCCTAGACTACCTAAACAGTTACCGAAACATGCCTATAGTCGAGTAAATTACATTGGTGGGAAATAAAGTATCTTTTGGTTAATTTTAATGACAATAATTAGGTTAGATGAATGCTGAAAATGCTGAGGAGCTCAATGGCGCGAGTGGTTAGCGCGTTCGGCTGCGATCGTTGAAGTTAAGCAACCTTCGCAGTGATCGCTCATTGGATGGGTGACCAAAAATCTTCTATCTCGAATTCCTCCGTGCTTCGGAAGGCACGTTAAGCCGTTGGTCCCGGCTGCATCTGCAGTCGTTAGCACCCGCCAATGCGCACTGGGCCCGCGTGGTGGGTCATGGCCCAATCTCCCTATTCAATCCAAAGGGAAGGCCTGTGCCCCAGGAGTGGGGCCATTAATATGCTGGTGATGATGAATGCTGAAATGTAATCCAACTGCACGTATGTTACTTAGGTGACTGTTAATAAAACGTAATTTTTTGTTTATCTATGTATTTTCAAATAGGTTGTTATGACCCGAAAAAAAAATAGTCTTTAATTATCGTTAATTAGTTGCAAACGCCAATAGATATAAATACAGAAAACATTACTCAAAACAAAAGTACGAGTATATCTACTGGATAGAAATGTGATACCAAACTATACCTACCTACTATAGTCAAAGCGCTCTTTGCGATATAAGCATTAATTTGCGATCAAAGAGGTACCTAATTGCTATGAAGTTTTTCTAATCATTTTAATTAAACAGTTAACAATAATGTGTTATTGTATTACACAGACAAAAACACAAGTTGAGTTGACAAACATTTACTGGCACAACATAATATAAAATATTGAGAGAGATTTCCATTGAAACATCATCAATACCCTTTCTCCGAGATAACATTCGATACAAACAGAAACTACTCAACTATCATAAACATCGGTGCCGTTTTATAGAATAAAATCGATGCTTACCATAAAAGAGCAGTATCAGATGCTCTCCAACTGTTTGCGAAGATCCCAAGGATCCCAATTTCGCTACAAGTGGCCACTCGAGACACCCCAAAATTGTTTGAGCGGAAAATTTCTGCAGACACATTTTAGGAGGCACATCTTAAGTGTCTGACAGATAGCTGCCCGCTATTAGCCGGTTAAAAATGCCTAAAAATAAAATGTTAAGTACCCGCCTACGATAAACTTAAAGGTGGCCACTTACAGAATACTGCTACAGAAAACTGTGAAATACATTGTCATGTATTCCACATTTATTGTACGTGTAAAAGAGTAGCTAGTACTAGCGTTCTTCGAGCATAAGCAAAATATTCATTAGCACATTTGAAATTAAAGTTAGCATTAGAATTTTTAAAGTTGTTACAAGTAATCTCTGTGTAGAAATAACACAAAATATCAACAGCAGTGGTACCCAGAGGGTGATTTTCAGTGAGAAGTACTGTACCCTTAACACGAACCAATATCGAATTCGTATCGTTTGCGAGTAAGAAATGTCATTGTTAAATTGTAAATGAAACAGCAACGCCACAAATTACGTAACGGAAATTGAAAATCAGTACACATTTGACAATGATATTTCAGAACGGGTGCTGCCAGCGGAGATGAGTCTGCCCTAACTTCCTTAATATTGAAGTTAATGTTTAGTCACACTTAATATAAATAACACTATTTGTATTTATACTGTATGACACAGCAATCAAAATGCAGGAACACAATTAATGTATATTTAATCATTATGTAATGAAAGGTGACTTCATGAATCATCTCTGAAGTCATTTTTCAACTTGACGACTCTGTAAATAATAAAACAGGGAGAAAAAAACAGCCCTTGCTGAGTTTCTTGTCGGTTCTTCTCAGTACAAGGTCTCCCGCCGTAGATTTACGAACCGATGGCGTAGCTTCTAGACATTCATGAGTGCTTGTAACAGCCTAAACTGAATAAATGATTTTGATTATGATTATGAGACTCGCAAACTATTCAAATTCGATTTTGGTTCATGCAAAGGGTACTGTTTTTAGATACTGATATGTACTGCACCCTATCATTTGCACAGTTAACCAACAACAAACTTTTAAGCAAACCTGAACTGCCTCTCCTTAATCCTTGACAGGTGTCACCGTCATGAATTTATTTGACAGAGGCCGAGTAGTTAAGCTGGTAGAAACTGTTGCCCACACTAAATGCACAAACAAATAAATGGCTGCTTTGGCAACTGTACATAATTCAATCCTATTGTTGAGCCAAACAGAGTATCTATCGTCTACTGAGAAAATAATGACAAATTGAAATGCTTAGAAAGGTTTCAAATCTGATATTATGCTTAATGTATTCATGATCAGCCTATGAATGTCCCCACTGCTGGGGCACAGGCCTTCCCTATGGATGGAATAGGGAGTTTTGGGCCATGATCCACCACGCGGGCTCAGTGCGGCTTGGTAGGTGGTAACGACTGCAGATGCAGCCGGGATCAACGGCTTAACGTGCTTTCCGAAGCACGGAGGAGCTCGAGATAGTAAATTTTTGGTCACCTATCCAATGACCGATCACTGCGAAAGTTGCTTAACTGCAACGATCGCAGCCGAACGCGCTAACCACTTGCGCCATCGGGCTCCTCGAGCTTAATGTATTGCATAACCAAATTGAAACCTACGCCACTATGGAGCCCGGAGGCCTACTCTAATGCAACGAACGAAAAAACGAAATTTCGATCAAAACTTCCCACGTTTCTTTCTTACTATGTTTCTAATCTATTATCTATTAGACAAGTCCGTCTGTCTGTGGTGCTGTTTCAGCGGCCAAACCGTAAGAGATAGATAAAGAGAATATTTAAGTTATAAGTTAAGAATAGTCTGATAAGACTTTGAGTAACGTAGCACTTTCGGTTTTCGAGAAATCAGGTTTTGGTGAACATTTGGTTCACTGGTTTGCTAGTTAATTTCTAATTAATTATAGTAATCGTACCTCTGAAAATAGATTGAGGTTTAGATTCTCTCAGTTTTCTGAACGCAAAATTGTATTTGATATTTTTACCTTTCAAATTAAGTATAACTTTAAATAGCGAAAAGGTTAGTCGACATCACAGGAGACCGAAGAGCTGGCAGCTACCTCGGACAAAGAATTAGTCTAGCCATTCAAAGTGGTAACGCTGCCAGTATCTTCGGATCTTTGCCTAAAGGGACTCCTTTTAATAATATATTTTAGTTATTAATTTTATTTTTTAAGGTTTTTAGTTTTAGTTTTATTGTTCTAATATTTATGTATAGAGTAATTATGTAATTAGATAGAGGTTTATTTGTGTACCAATAACAATAATAAAACTTTAAATTGACTAAATTAAATTTCGTTTGAACTTCGTTTCTGAAACATCGTTTTTAGTCTCAGAGATATATAAAACAGTATGAGTTGTCAACTCAACTGTTTTTATTTTAAATGCATCACACTGTCAACATTTATTTCTTTCATAAAACAAAAATTGTTTAAACTGTTTCAACGTTGCCACTTCATTGCTATTGAAAAATTAGGCTTTAAACATGAGTTTAAGAAGGAAATGTGTTACAAAATGTTAAAAAAATGTTATAGAAAAGCCCTTTGTGATACAACCCCATATAGCAAACCGTATTACAGTAAAATATAAATCTATATCTACAAGTTAAACTGACCT